CGTAAAAATATAAAAAACAGAGTAAACTAAATGATCAAAAGTGGTTTCTGATCTAGTTAATCAAATTTATCTACTTATATAAAAGTGTTTCTTTTCAAAAATATGACTGAACATTAGATGTGAATCTATGTTAAGGTGGAACATGACTACAATGATGCAAGGACACAACCCATGCAAAGAAGAAATCAACCTGCAGACATGATCTCTAAAGAAGACTGCCGTCATGCAATTGCAGAAGCTATGAGCTCAATTGAATCAAGGATGGACGTCTCCAATCAAAATTTCATGCGTGGCATATTAAAGTTTGCTGACAGGGTTCAACGAATGCCAACGTCGAAGCTAACCAGTTATTTCCATACTTTTGGTGCAGCAGGAGTTACGCAGTCAAGAGTGACAATAACTTCAATTGTAAGAAGAGCAAAGCGAGGTAAAATCCATGTTCAACCAGAAGTAGTGAAACGCAGGAAATTAGAGTCCGGAAGTAGAGCAAAGCAACCAAAAGGGCAAATTTCAAAAAAGAATCCATTTTTATTGAAGGCCGGAAAAGCAAAACGGCTTCATCAATTTGCTCACAATGTTAGACAAAACCAGCCTGTATCAAAGAAGGCCGGCAGATCCATGTCTACTAAAACCCGATGCTGTGAATCAACAGATATTTGCGACTAGAAAAATAGAGCTGAAAAATAAACTACAGTTTTTTCAGCATGAATTTAAAATGACAAATAGTAACATTGCAATATAATCACTAATCAGTACTATTTTAATTATTATAAAATGCAAATGTATATATATATATATATATACCGGGTGGCCCAAAAAAAAGTACTCCTGTTTGATTCGTAATAACTTCTAAACAAGTAAAGTTTTTAAAGAGAAATAACTTGCATTAAATAGATGAAGGACTAACTTAGATTTTGATATATTACAGTTGTATTTAACTTAAAAATTCACGGATATATTAATGTTAAAAATGGGGAGCATATTTTGGAATGCGTCTAAAATTAGCGAAAATCGGCATATCAAATATTAACTCCAGCGTTTGTTTGCTTAATGACATATTAGGCTAACTTGTATTTCAGCGAATTATCGTTAAGGTTTGTAAGGGATATGGCGTAGATTTGGACATCTTACATGTAAGTCTTAGCTCATTGTTTCCTGAAATATGAACGTTCGAAATTATGCAAGTATTTAATATTAGGTCTTTGCAAACTTAAATGTACATGAAAGACTGACCATGGAAGGCAGGCGCTTAAATTTTTCGTATTCTTAAATAGCCTAATTTTTTTATGTTTTTTAATGGGTTCAAACAGACTGAGTAGATTATTTCTCGGTTAGAGCAGGATGAATATTCTTTATTGAAGGAAATAATATTGCTTTTTGCAAATACACATCACCGTATCAACGCTACTATTTTGTTACGTTTTGTTCCCAAAATGTTGCATGTCTCTGGGGAGTTGCTTAATTGTTATGTCTTATGGAGTTGTATGGTTTGACTGTGTTTCATATAATTCTCAGTTTACTCCATGAACTTGCCAAGATTAAGAAACGGCAAAAGAGTTTGGGTGTTTTTAACAAGATTTCAGAACGTTGCAGAAGTTAGAAGAGCTTCACAATTCCGTTGTGACAGCATGCCCTAATTCAGAACTACGAACGATCCAATGACGATCCTTCGCGGTGCAGTGGTCTCATGAAATAAGGAAACGTATTCGTGCTAGGAACACACGCGAATTTCGGACGAATGAATCTTGCTTGTATTTTGTAGATATAATAATACTTTGTTTCATAATAAACAATTTGTCAAGTGTCATTTATTTACTGGTAATAGTGCATGTTTCAGTCGGGCAAATCTTGATTAATATTTGATACGCCGATTTTTGCATATTTCAGACACATTCAGAAATATCCTCCCGAATTTAAAGATTAATATCTCCGTGAATTTTTAAGTGAAATACAACTGTAATATATCAAAGTCTAAGTTAGTCCTTCCTCTATTTGATGCAAGTTATTTCTCTTTAAAAGCTATACTTGTTTAGATGTTATTACGAATCAAACAGGAGTACTTTTTTTTGGGCCCCCGGTATCAAACAGTTATTATTGCTACAATAAAACTTCCGCAATAAAAGTTCATTTCTAATGGTTCAAAACTACAACATCGATATGCAAGTAATGACTAACAACGCGTTACCATGAGTTGCGCACGCGTTACCACGTTTTCTCCGTCAAAACTGAGCCCAGTTTCCCTGGAGATGAGAGTATGCCATCATAGGAAGCTAACATAAAGTCTCTTCGTCACAAAGCAACGATCCGCTGACAAAAAGGTTTGATTTAAAGTTTTGTGCGTGACAAAATTGGAAAATTTGTGTAGTATTTTGTGCTTGTGTTGAAGAAAAAGCCATATTTTAGTTGAATATGGTTGGGTAGAAAGGAAAAAACACTATATAAAGATGACTAGGAAAGGAAAGGGTTTCTCTGGGATACAAAGGGCAATAATAAAGCGAAAGAGGAGAGCAAAGCATCGAGGAGACGGCTGAGACATCATGATGATGAACCTGCGTGTAAAAAAAATACTTTGTTAGCAGGGTTGCCAGATTGCTGAATAAATAAGCCAAATATTATTATAATAACCTTTTGTTTTCTTTGTTGGAGACAAAGACATCAAAGGGCCGCTTATAACAATGTTTGGCTTATTTATTCAGCAATCTGGCAACCCTGTTGGTTAGGTCACATAAAAAAAAATAGTTGGTTAGCTTCCCCGCCCGCCCACAAAAAAGGCCCCGCTCAGGATTTTTTTAAAATTTTTTATTTTAAAAAGCCCGACTTTTATTGATCAACGGGCTCTAATATATGTAGTATTTCTGTTGACTGTAGTCAATTGTGTTAATAATTTGCGAAATTGCGTGCGAAATTGACGGTATGAATTATCTTTTGAAATATATAAAAAAAATATCTGTACTGCGCAAGAAAATCCAGTTTCGGACCTAACAGTGAGTAAAACCAAGGCGTTAAAAATTAGTAAAAATTAAAAAAAAAAGCGCCCGCCCGCCCACTTTTTGGCAAAAGCCAAGGACGCTAACCAACTATTTTTTTTTATATGGCCTTAGCGTCACACTCTCACAAATTTTCAGAGGCGGGCGGGCGGATTTTTTTTAAAATTTTTACTCGTTTTTTAATTTTTTATTAGTATTTTTGGAGGGGATGGGGGCGGTTTTTCCACCATATCGGTGATATTTTTTGTACTGATGTGACTGATGTTGCGAAGGCCGCCATTTTGCTTTAAGAACCTTGTATACCCAAGCATACGCGCTCCTATCGATCAGTATATAGCGCGAAGGTCTGAGCATGAGAAAAATTTCAAATATTAAACTGTTTTAAGCTGTAAAACGAAGAGATTTACATAAAAAAAAAATTTAAAAAATTCAGAGGCGGCAGAAAATCGAGAGGCGGGCGGTGACGCTAACCAAGTATTTTTTTTTATTTGGCCTTAATGTGAATAGCTCTTTGGGGAAGACGATGAAATTACAAAACGATGCTAGAGCTACAGAGTTGGCTGATGTCTTTCCAGGTCTGCCTGGCAATGATGAAGATGGATATAGGCTGATAAATGTAAAACATTCAGCCTCTGTGTTCTCTGAAATTCATGTTTGCGATGAAGGTATTTAGTGATGATTTGTTTTTAAATTGGCTTTGCCAGTTTGCCCTATCACCCAAATATTATATTTGTTTGTTATCTTGGCATTGTATAAGTGATAAAATGAAATTCTTACATACTGTAAGTTTTATCAGGTATTTTTGCTTTGTTTATTTATTATACCAGGGTGTATCAAAATAAACGCAATTCATCTTTTGTGTTTAATAACTTTCGAAATACTATTTCTAGTTAAACGCTTTTAGGCTTACTTCAAAGCCTGTTCTTTTCTCTTTCAAACAAACTATTATCCTTGTCTCCAATGCTAGTAATAATTGCACAGGAAAAGATTTAGTAAAACCCATCATTTTTAGTTGCTGTTTAATTATGCAAGTTTACTATGTTATTGTTTAGTCGGTTCAAATGTTAGAATTTTCTTCTTTAAACTTTAATGTTGTTGTCACTACATCTGGAAAACCATGTAAGAACAAATTAAAAGTATTTTAAAAGAGACCAGGTTGTTTGAAAATCCTAAACGAATGCTAAAAATCGTCAAAACATTCTGGTGTCTGAGTCAGAGTGTCATCGAATTGCGATGTAATGTAAACAGAAATTATAGCAAGTTGATGTCAGTCAGCTTAGATGGTCCAAGCCAAAATTATATCGCATTTGAAGTTTCAAACTGAGTTAAAAATAGTGGAAGAAAAGCCGTAATTATACTTATTGTTACAATCCATTTAATAAAATGCAACATTTTTTTGTTTTAATGAAAAAATCAGTTATTTTCACGAGAACGATTTGTCAGTTCCATCTCAATTTTCTTAATCTCCAATCGCAATAACGTAAAGTATTATTACCCGCGAACCAATGAGTCAAATTTAAGAAACAACCCACTGTTAGAAAGCTGAATGGCTACGCTTTAAAATGAATGTAAACTTTAACGTTTTCGTCTATTATTTGTTTAGCAATTTACATTTCAGTCGTGGATTGCGCTTTTTTTGATACACCCTGTATAAATTATGTGCACCTTTGATATATGCCTTGGGATGCTATGTCGAACCTACACCTCGACTACTAAGATTTTGCCTTGAACTTTTAGGTAAACAAGAAGAACTGAAGCCAACTTTTGTATAACTGAGTGAGTGATACAAAGTTGTATGAGAGATGGGTACATGGAAAACTTCAAAACCCAAATGAATGCCTGAACCCCTGGTATCAACCCGTATCGGCTTGATGTCCAAAGCATCACAGCGTCCACACTGTTCACTGTACTGTTGCTTCAGCTTTTTGCCATTTCCGTAGTGATGCTGCAAGCAGAGAAAGGATTATGGAGGGACTTTCGATACCTGCTGGTCACCATACAAGGCATAATTCCTTTGTACGTGACAAGAAGAGGTTAAGAAAATCTGATTTTCATGCCAACCAGAAGCAAACGAAACGTCGCGAATGACACGCCTTCCTGCCGATACAAAGGGGAGGGGCTCTTCATGAAGCTGAGGGAGTCAGTTTTGAAGCAGCAAGGTTTTAAACAACCCCCTGTTTCATTTAATGCATGAAATAATGACTTGCACAGTCCAAATATTTACTATTGCACTTTTTAAGACATGGGAACTTTTAAAGCTGATTTTCTCCAAATACCTGTTTTTCGCAGTTGAGAAAAGATAACTCGACTAGTATTTGCTCGATTGTTATGAAATTTTCAGGAATTGTTGCTCTAAGAGAGCTTTCTTGGATAAGCATAGAGATTTTTGAAATGTCTAATTTTAAGGAAGTTATGAATCAAAACGTGACCACTTTCTTGTTCACAAACTTTGACCAACCACTGTGTCAATTCCTTTTATAATATAAAAAAGTTCTATGCTTATCCAAGAAAACCACTTGTAATCTTTCATGTGGCACAAAAAATAAGCAATTTAATGCAATACCCAGTCTTAAATCTTTTCTCAAAGGAAGATGGGGAACTCACAGTATGTGGTAGCCGGTGTCGGGTTACAATGTAATTATTGATAATATAAATTATATTTTCAGAATCTATGTTTCATTAGCTTTCATATGATATATAGTTTGTCATGGCTTAGAGTAAAACCTGATGTGTTATGGCTATCTGAATGACAGCTTAAAGTTTGGGTTAACCCCCGCCTCAATTGAGTAGCAATAATAAGTACTATTTAATTAAAGCACGCGTTTTAAATATGATAAAACACGACTACAAGTGCTTTAGATGACTTAAACTCCGACTACAAAAGAATACTAATTAAGATTAAGCGTTATATAAACATAATAATGAAGATGAGTTTTATCACATATAAAGCTACGACACGCTTATGATTTTTCTTTGTTTTCCTCATGATCGAATTATTAATGAGGAGTTTAAATATATATAATCTACCTGAAATGATAATTATAGACTATAGTTTGATGTTTCCAGCAAATAATAATAATAATAATTATAATAATAATTATCGTTTAATATTTCCATGTTTTTCGTCATCATCTAATAAGTTCACTATAATTACTTCTTGAGGGATACGCCACCATATGTTTTTCTTAATTAATTTCTCCAACTCGGCAACTCTGTAGCCTGTAGGGTGTTCTGCAGCCTAGTCCCAGGCTCTCTCTCTCTATTCGCTGCTTTGATATATTTAAATAAGTCTTAAAAGTTTTATGCATGGGTGTGCTGTGCGGAACGCTTCAGCGAAAGAGCCTAGCAGATTTCGGTAAATGGTCCCTGATTTCAAAAAAGTGGTCCCTGGCCTGGTTACCAAGCATACCGCATTTGTGAATAGAAAATGTTATGGAAATTTCCTTTGCGTTTATACTAGTCATTAGTTTTGCTCTGATGCTGTCGGAACAATGAAATTCGCTACCATACGGTCAGAATGGAATACCGTTATTCTTGACTTGTGTTTACTAAATTATACTAGCCATATGAAATGCTATCATGGCGAGAAATAATGGTCATGCACGCGCATTGAGTGCTTGGACTTAGAAAATATTTTGTAAAAATATGGCCGCCGTCACTCTTATGTTTTGTATGGGAGTTAACGAAAAAATCGCCCTAGCTCTTAATTTAGCGCTACAATTCAAAGTGTTCAATCTGTTTTAGCAAATACTTGTTAAAATCTAATTTCCAAGATATAGTTTAGAATATCTGGACTTAACCGCAATTCGGTATCGCAATAACTAAATATGAAGCATTTTAGTTAGGAATTGTATTGTGAAACAGCAGAAATACGTCAAACAGACCTCAATAAATTCCATTTTCAGACGAAATATTGAACATATGCAAAGTGTTCAATCTGATTTGGCTTGGCAAGACATTGCATTTCTAAGCACAATTTAGACCAAACCAGCACGATTTATTCCCCGTTCGGTATAGCCATGTATTTTAGGTGAATTTTCACGTATTTTAGCATTTGAAATATGACCCCGCACGCAAAATTTGACCAAAATAACAGCAATAAGTTGGTGCTTCTTCTTCGAAATATTGCTTATGCCACCATTTTGTATGCTCTAAAGAAGCCTCTACAGCAGAGGAGCTTTGTAACCATGCCTTATAGTTTCTAGGCAACAAAATATTATATATATTCGTAAACACTGTCGGCAAGACTTCAGATGCGTGTAAAAGTGGGTATATAATTTTTTGCGCAAAGGTCAGATGGGTCAATCGAGCAAAACATATAAACACAGAAACGTTTCGGATGTCTAGCGTTTCTGTTTGCCCCGACAAGCTAAAAATTATTACGAACGGGGTTTAAGCATCCAATAATTAATCCTGAGCGGTTAAAAAAGCGTTATAAGCCACTGGTGGAAACCAAGACATTTATGAACGCAGAATATATTATACTTAAGCTCCGCCCCCTAATGACCACAATTTCTCGCCATGGTAGAAGCTTGAAAATTATGCCGAGTCACCGACTAAAATGTGACAACACAGTACAGTCATGTTTACAATCTCCTCAGCTACTTAAACCTGTCAAGTAGAAAGCGTAGTTGTGTATACCAGTTGATCACAACTTGCGAGTATATAAATAACATCAACGATTATACAACCATTGGTCAGACTCAGTATCGTAAACTGTTTGTATATATATTTTTTTAATTGAGCACATTTTTAATACAGTTTGAATTTGGTTATGTAGACATCGAACAGATCAACGAACATCGTTGTATTTACAAGGTTATTTGTATATACAAATTTTCCGCCATATTAAAAATACTGAAATCTGCTAGGCGTTCTGAAGCACCTTTAGCGGTGACGTCACACCTAGGTCCCAGTCCCGTACTACATCACGTTTTTTCTCGCGCTTGCTTCAGCACGACTGGGACTAGGCTGGGTGTTCTGCATGCCAGTTAATAAAGTATCAAGCTCATCCTGTAAAACTGTATATTTATATGCGGGATTGACTGTCCGAGAATTGGCTTTGCTGCCGTTGTGAATATGACTGATAATATCTATAGTACAGGTGCGCAAATCAATCCCCAAGTGCAGCACCCTCTTGATGCATGTTAAACAACAATGAAAATAAGACATATAAGAGCAGATAATTTTTGTGCAAACTTAAAGTACATCTCAGGGTCAGCGAGCGTTCCATTATCGCGCAGTGTCTATTTGGAATGAGCTCCCAAATCATATTAAAGACATTGACACTTTGGACCGGTTTAAATTAGAATATAAATGTCATTTATTGCATGGAGTTTAGAAAGTAGTTAATAGTTTTAGACAATTTGGGCTTGTTAATTTAAATTAGCAAAGAAACGTTTTTACTGAATGGATTTTATTAGGAAGTAGTTAACATTTTTGAAGTGACATTACTACAAATTATAAAATTTAATTTGTGTTGTATGTATGTATGTATGTATGTATGTATGTATGTATGTATGTATGTATGTATGTATGTATGTATGTATGTATGTATGTGTGTATGTATGTGTGTGTATATACAGGGTGTATCAAAAAAAACTGAACAGATTTGAAATTGCTCTCAATTTCGCAAAACACCTATTTGTATCTGGTTTTATATATATATAGCTTCTTTGGGTACTTATAATGTAAAATAATGAGAAAAAAATTCTCGAACTCAAATTCTGTGAACCAGGGGGGTGTGTCTTTCCCAACAAACTAAAAATGGCTCGCGCACAAAATTTAAAAGCTGTAATCATATTTTGAGTTAATAGATTGAAAACTTGTCGGGTTTTTAATTACTGTACAAAATTTCAGACAATTTGGTTTAGTTTATGCCCTTTAACTATTCATTTTGTTCTAAAAAGTCAGCCTTTCGCATGCTTAATTAATGCCTTTACCTAATTTGCATATTGCTGACATATGCAAATTAGGCAAATGCATTAATTAAGCATGCAAATAGCTCATTTTTCGG